TTAATATCCAGGAAATCTTTTTCCTGGTTCAGATTACATTTAGTTTCATAAAAGACAACAAACTCATTTTGGAAGAAACAGTTTTTGTAACACAGGATTTAGGTTAAAACTGACATTTGAGGAGTTCTTCGAATCATGGTCGAAAAGAATTTTACAGTAATGGAATTAGTTTTTTGTTAAAGATGGAAGGAATTTTAGATAATCAGGAAAATACATTGTTGATTGAATCTGTAATTAAATATAACATTTATTCACTTGTTTTTCTTTAAAAAAATTTCGGAGGAAAAAAAAAATGGGATGACAAAAGTGAAAAAAAAGATAACGATATAAATAATGAAAATGGAGAAATTTACATCAGGAAAAAATGAAAAAAAAAAAAAAGAAAAAATTAACATATATAGACATATTGACATGTATTAAAAATAAGAAAAAAAAACAGATTAAAGTTCCTACTTTTAGGATAAATAAAATGTCCATTTTTCTTCACTGATAAGTTTGGTTGGAGAAACTGGAAAAAATAATATAATGTGTAAAAGAAAAGAAAAAAAATTTTTTTTCTAATCTATTCTTGAACAAAAATTTAAGCGTTAATTAAAATAGAGAGTGTGGTGAGGTTATAAACCCATATCTGTTTCAATTAATCGCTTACATGTCATATAATTATGCCCCTATTCCATATTGCGTTGACTCATATTCAAAACAAAAATCGGTTATCGTTTACAACAAGAAAATTCCCGACAGAACGGATAAAATAAACATAGAAAAACAAAACGAACAAAACAAACGAACATTTAATCTGTTGAACGATAAAAGAATAAAAATATGTATAAAAAAAATATAAAACGAGATTTTAATGAAAATAGATATTTATATCATGATGTAAATTCAAAAAGAAAAATATATATATTTATTACATTATGATATGTAAGGCAGAATAAATACAATTAAAAGTTCCTACTTTGAGGATAAATAAAATGTCCATGGTTTCTTCAATGACAGTTTGGTTGGAGACTTAAAAATATATAAAGTTTTTTATACTCTTGAAGAATATTTTTGTCAATATATATATACATATATGTCAGGTATATAAATATATATATATATATATATTATTCATAAATACATGTCATTGTCATATCATATATATCTATATATATTCCATATATATATTATATCATATTCAAAACGAAAATCAGTTATATATTTATATATATATATATATATATATATATATATATATATATATATATATATATATAATATTCACAAATAATATTACATGATAAAAAAAATATGAATGAGTAAATACATCGTCAAAATCTTTGTTATTATTAAGAGGAAAGTACAAAGTATTTCTTTATTATTAAATTATAGTTTTCGATTCTTTTTAGAACGTTCGAAATTGTGGTTAAAATTTTGTTATCTTCCGTCAGCGCGTGACCATAAATTAAAATAGGAAATTTTGGCGTCAATTTTGTGTTGGAAAATACATTCTTTAATTTCATGAAATTTATTTATTTTTCAGCTTCATATTTATATTACTTATATGAAGGAATCTTTCGAGAATTTCATCAATTTTTTCTCTGAACAGTAAAATAAAAATGCAATAAAACTCTTATATTATTTCATTAGAAAAGCTTTTAATTGCTTTTATGAATTAGATATGTTATGGACCCTTTTCCGTTAAGCAAAAAACCCCAAAGAACAAAAAACAAAACAAAACAACAACAACAAAAAAAAAAAAAACAATCGATGAATAGTGAATTATTACAAGAATTATTTTTAAACAAAATTTAATTAGAATAATTTATAACGTTTTAAATCTTTAAAATTCTAAATTTAACTTGTAGCAGTTATTTTATATCAATCATGTCCAAAGTCCGGACAGCGGTCAAGTTTCGTATGATTTTCTTCCTCTCTCATAGCATATATCACTTACTTCCCGTCAGTATTGTCAATCAGAATATGTAAGAAATGTAATTTCATATTTTACCAAAAAATGGCGGCAATACCTTGTAGTCGTCCTGTGACGGTGTTATCCTGACTCTGTCCTTTTCCAGTCAATTTCTATAATCATTGCCTTTGAACAGGACCACTACCTTTGAACCAAACCTGGCCTACATGCTCCAGACCAGATCTCAGTATCACTCTTCACATTAATGCAAGCAAGTTATTTGAGATGAATAAAGTCTAAAATCTTAGTGAATTAAATTTGTTTTATGTTGTTCAAAATCAGTTATAAATATATTTGGGCACTTGAACTTGTGTCACTTTGTCTTCTACTTCTTAATAAGATGAATGTTGGTGGTATGTCCCTATTGATAGGATTTGAACTTAAAATTTGGCAGACATCATTAATCACAAGTAATATGTAATACTTAAGATTAACTTGAGATATATTATAGCTTCTAGTAAGTTCTTTTTTCTCAGACATATTTTATTTCATATTATATGGGCTTCAGATATGACAGCTGACTCATTTTGGTAAGATCTTTTTAAATGTATTTGTCACCCATGTGAAGAAACGAAAATATGCCATTGGCAATGAAATTTTCATAAGATAGTTATTTGGGATTTCATTTTAATGGTTCAGAGGATGCCAAGCAGAATGGTTGGCCCTCACCCATATTCACCTCATCAAATCTAGCCCTCTTTGAAAAAAACTTTGGACACCACTGGTTTATATTATTATTATTCAAAACTATATTTACTAATCATCAAAGGAAATGTTTACTACTATTCAGCGAACTCAGCATTTTATAAAGGATTTTGATTTTTTTGTGTGGATTTTTGTAAATACGGACGTCCATACACGAAATTATATATATATATAAAAAAGACCTGTAACTGCAGTAAATTCAAAACAAAATTGCTCCAAATTCAGTAAATCTTTACGGAGAAAATTTTCTTAGTTTTTAAAAAATTTAAATTGATAGGTTGTAAATATATAAAAAAAGCATTGACGTTATATTTCTCACGTAATTTTTACAGATATGTCGCACGTAAAAAAAAAAAAAAAATATGTGGTCTATCAGTTTATCTATAAATATTTCAAAACCTTAAATAACAACTTATCTTCGTCTTAAAAGTAATTTTAAGAGTAATTTTATTTTTTCGAGTTGATATTGAATGATTAGACTTTTCGAGGATAACTATTTTCTTTCCAGATACAAATCATACTTTAACCAATAACTGGGAGGAGGAGGAGGAGGAGGAGGAGGAGGAGGAGATGTATTCAAGTTTTCTCAAGGGTATTATCGCGATAGTGAATGCAAGGAAATTTAAAATTTTCGAAATTAGCTCACGGATTTCTCATTCTGAGCCATCATCTAACGAACAACTCGCATATTTAACTTTTTGCTTAAAAAGCCGCTGAGTGTTGACTTCAATGTCCCTTTTATATCTCTATTCCTCTAAGATTGGTTGATTAATACATTTGTTTGTTTAACGGCATAGCAACAAGACAAAAACACTAAGACACCATGTGTCCATTTTATCTTTTTGAGTTTGTTTCGAAGATTCATAGTTTTTGTTTGGAAAGTGTTTTCCTTGTTTGTGTGTTTGAAATGTATTTCGTTTATCTATTTCCTCTTTTGAGCAATATACATTGTGAAAACTGGTGAAAAAAGATTTTCCTTCTGCAACATCGTCCCGGTGAAAGTCGGGATATTTTGACATAAGAGACTTTAGAGTTGTAACAGGTGACGGGGTTCTTCAGTGAGATTCAGATGAATGACATTTAAGTTTTAGCTAATATACTTTTTAGAAATACATTTTCCAACGGCAAGTGTTTATAGAATATTATTATCACAAGACTACATTATTTATGAGTGTATTTTTCTATTAAAATTTTGTATCAGTTATATTTTTTTTGTCCTGACCTTAGTAATTCTATAATCCGTAAAGGTCAAAAAACCGAAAAAACACCTGAACCCAAAGATTTCGGATTAAGGATAATGGATATGTATTTGCAATTGGTTTCTAGTTTTCACGGTGTATTTCTTAAATAAAAGGATCGTATCAATATGAAACGTGGACATTTTTCGGCAATCAGTTACAGCATGCCTAGATTGAGAGAAACTACGTAAGCGCCTACTAAGCCGTTTCATTTGCATTTTCATTTCCTCAAATACACATATCAGAATCGCCATTTCTTCTTTTTGCTGACCTGATTCGTGTAAGGAATGAATTAATCTGTTGTTATGACTGGCATGAATAAGGTTTGTTACTCCTCCCATTTTATTACTGACTTCCTCCGTTGCTGTTGGTACAAGGTATTGAGTTCTTATTGAATAGAGATTTGTCCAACGACAGTTTGCTTCAGACATGACGTTGTATAGCGACAGATGCCTTACAAAAGCTAAGCAAAGTATTAAGAAACAGAAAGATAAATAAATAGCAAAGAGTAATTACCTGTTCTCTAATATGACAGAGAATGTTGGACAATCTCCTCACAAATATGGAAAAACTTGAAACTTACTATAAATGATATTCCTCACCACATGTTGGGTATATGGTAGTGCTGTATTCTTTGATGTAAATGCTCATTCGATTGAAGTTTTACTCTTTGCAAAAGTTTGCTTTGTTCTGAAATATTTTTTCATAAGATTCCTACTTTGAGACGCAAATTTTTTGCTGAAAGTTTTCATCTTCGAACCGACACTGTCTGGTTGGTGTGGGGCAAAGAGTTTTTGTTAGAAATAAAAATAGTTATTTATACAAAAATCAGGAAAACTGAGAGAGAGAAAAAGAAATCTTTGTACATAAAATTAAACACTGAATGATTTATATATTTATTTATTATTTACCTAGTACAATTCCCAAGAGCCACTCAAAGTAGAGGATTAGTGAATGAGGCGTGATAAAAGAGTCGGAAGTAAAAAGTAAGGGATAAAGAAGATAGATAATGATTGACACTTGACTTGAAGATGGGACAATTGTAGCATTCCTGAAAGCAAATATCTACGTTCTGCAGGAATACAGGAAGAAGACTTTCTGACTGAAAAAGAGAGGGAAGATTCATTGATTTATTATTTGAGAGATAATAGGTAGATAGATAGATAGATAGATAGATAGATAGATAGATAGAGAGAGAGAGAGAGAGAGAGAGAGAGAGAGAAAGAGCGAGAGAAAGAGAGAGTGAGAGTGAGAAGGTGTGAAAGAGAGACAAATAGAGAAGACAAGAGAAAAGGAGAAATAACACTGTGCAAAATATAAACAGTACATGATTTGTATATTCATTGCAGAGTGTGTGAATAAATCATCTTCAAAAATTAATGATAAATCAAATCTATGATTTTCAAGAATAAAGTACAAAGTTTTCTGTTTCAAAAGAAAATCTTGAAATTCTGTTCTGAAGAATTGTTATGCTGTTAATTAGTGTGCTGACTAATATCCTTATCTTTGTTTTTATTCTAGTTTCAGTCACTGTTCTTTTGTCTGTGTGTCGCTGAAAGTTGTACGAGTGGAAGAGATAGAAAAGACACAGAGAGTGTGAAACAGAAAAAGACAGAGAGAGAGAGAGAGAGAGGGGGGGAGAGAATATACAGATAGATATAGTGACAGAGAGAGAGAGAGAGAGAATAGAGAGAGATAGAAAGTGATACAGAGATAAAAAATAGCGAGAGAAAAATAGAGAAGACAGAGAGAGAAGTTACAGGTAGACGGAGGGAGAAGTCACTACGAGACAGTGAGAAAGAGAGAGGGGGAGAGACAGGGAAAGAGAGAGTAGATACAGAAAGATCTAGTGACAGAGAGAGATATGAAAAAAAAGAGAGAGAGAGAGAGATACAGAGATACAGAGATGAAAATAGTGAGAGAAAAATAAGAGAGAGACAGAGAGAGAAGTCACTTCGAGACAGAAAGATATAGAGAGAAAAGTGCAGACACATACAGAGAGAGAAGACACAGACAGGTGAGAAGGAACATAGGGTAAGAGAGAAGAAGATACAGAAGATATGGAATATCCGGATGACACGAATTCAAATTTGGCTAAAATGTTACAAATGCCCAATCTGCTACAAATCTATCATGTTACAGTTATTTTAATCTTTGTTTTTATTCTAGTTCAGCTACTGTTGTTTTGTCTGTATGTCGCTGAAAGTTGTTCGAATGGAAGAGAGAGGAAAGACACAGAGAGTGTGAGATAGAGAAGACAGAGAGAGCAATAGAGAGAAGAGAGTTCAAATGACAGAGAAAGAGAAAGAGATAGAAAAACAGAGTGAGAGTTACAGAGAGACAAAAATAGCGAGAGAATAATAGAGAAGACAGACAGAGGTTACAGGTAGACGGAGGGAGAAGAGAGGGTGAGAGAGAGAGAGGGAGAGAGAGAGGGAGAGAGAGGGAGAGAGAGAGGGGAGAGAAGTGAAGACACATATAGAGAGAGAAGACACAGTCAGGTGAGAAAGAAAATAGTGTAGGAATGAAAAATATCCAGATGATACGATTCCAAAATTTTGGCTAAATTATCAAAAATGTTCAATCAGCAATAAAGCTATCATGTTACAGCTATTTCAACAAATACTCACACAGTAATAGGCACAAGAGCCGCTCAAAGTAGAGGATTACTGAATGATGTCTGATAGAATAGTGGGAAGTAGGAAGTAAAGATGATGAGAATAAAGAAGATAGATTGATTCTTGATTTGAATGTTGTAGGATTTCACCCTTGCCGGCATCATCCTCGCGGTTATCTGAAACGATAAAAACATATAATCAAAAACAGAATTTATAAAACATAGAAAACAACATTAAAGTTCTATATGTGGTCAATTGAATTAGCTAAACCTATTTATTAATATTCTCTCGTAATTAAAAATAAAAAGACGATTTGGGAATAATGGCTGAAATAAATGCTGTTTTAAAAATAAAGATCTTTTTGAAAGAGAGTAAATCAATGGTTAAGATTTTCTTTCTATGCTTTAGATTAAAATTTAAATATTGAATTGAAATTTGCAAACCGCTTCACATGCAACACGCACACATACACACATTTTATCTTAAACATTAAATATATTTTTCTTTTGACTGATACTTTTTTTTACTACCGGAAATAAAAAAAAAGAAACAAAGGTTACACACTCCTGCATTCGGCGGTTGGATTTAACCCCCGACCAACCCTGAACATAGCTTCCTTTTACGGACAGGTAAGTCATTTGAGTGCAATATTTATTCCAGCATAATATCATATGCCTCTACAATTTGTTTTACAAGTTCATAATTTTACCAAAGATGTAAATTTTTCTTTTTTCATGAATGAGTTCTTTAGCCCATTATTACTAAACAGTTATGTTTTATTACACGTTTCTTAAGTCCCTCTCCATAAATGGAAACATTTTCCTAATTTTCTTTCTATTTTCTCCAAAGTTAACACATAATTGGTAACTTCAGTACTTTTGTCCTTAGACATCCTACGTTTCTTCACCATAATTTAAAAACATTCATCCCCATATTCTTTTTTAAATGTTAAATTCCTAAAGACAAAAAGACAGTTTTTCTCTACATGAGGCTCTGGCGGAAATTGTTTTTCTCTACATCGTGTTCTTACATGCCTAATGCAAGTAGCTTTTTAGCTGTTATGAAGCGACATGACGCAGTTCTAGAAAAAATTGTTAAAGTTCTGTTTATTTCTTCCTGAACCTAGTAAAGAAAATTTCATTGGAACAGTAGATCGAACTGATTAAATACTATTTTCTTTATATTCTTATAACGGAGAAACGGAGGCTTTCCGCCGCGGAGAAGCTTGCTCGATGGAAAGATAACATGGCTACATCTGGGGGAGCGTCTTCACATGTATTCGTTGCAATCGAGTCAATGTGTGCAGGGAGCCCCTAATCCTTCCTTGTTCGCTCTTCTGCGCCTGTCACCTCCAGCATTTGGTCGAAGATTAATTAAAAAAAAATCATGGTTTCAAATGCTGCTATCTCATAAGTGAATTGACACAACAATTGGCTTTCTAGCCTTTGACCCGATTGACACTTTCCTAGCGAAATTATTGCAACTCCTATTATGGTTACAGTTTGTTCAGCCAAATGTCATCATTTTGCATGTGTTCAATTTATTGTTTTCCATTCCGACATCTTGGCAAAATGAATTAATTTAGTTTTACTGAATTCTTCTCACGTTAGATCCGGGCATTGTTTGCCGAAGACTGTCAACACTTGACCTGTTCGCACAAACTGAGCATCGCTTTTAGACGGCCATCTGGTCTATTGTATAAATCTCGATTTACTGGGAACAATTTATTATCGGTCTGTCGTTCTTTATATATTTTAACCTTTTTCAAGCTAACTTATTCATCATTATCTCGTTTTCGTTGATATTCCAAGTCGCCATTATTATTATTAATTACCAGGAACCCAAATAGTGTTACAGCGTGTTTATTCTTCTTTTTATATAAGCTGTAGTGAAACAAAGTTCTCAGTGTCTCTTGTGTAGGTCTGTTTTCTTTTTTTTACGTAATGTGAGGATAAGCTTCGTTGTAATGGTCGAACTCAAGTCAGCCTTGCGCTAAGTTGAAACGACCAAAGTAAAACTTATCTGCCTTCATCGGCCGAGTTTCTGCAAAGCACGTGCGAACGTTATGCATTGGAATGTAAAAGATAATTTCTTATTCTGGTCTTGAAGTACGTTCGGGCAAGTCTTGATATGCTTGGTTATAATGGTCGAGCGCAAGTTAGGCTTGCGCTGAGTTGGAGCGATCAAAGAAAGGGACGCGGGTGGGGGGCGTTTTTTGGTAGACACATGTTAGTGGACCAAGGAAACGAAAGTGACTCATCGGTGACGTCACTTTTATTTCATGAAATCGGATAGATTATACACCCAAACACACACAAAAAAGTTTAATCAAAAATAAAGAAAAAGAATTTGAAATGTAAAATTCTCATCATGTCTCATTCAAAAGATATTACATATATATATATATATATATATATATATATATATATATATATATATATATATATATAAACACATGTGCATGTATGTATATATATATATATATACACATATATATATGTGTGTGTGTGTATTTTGTTGTTGTTGCGAATATTGTATCAAATATAGTGATATGTAAATGGATATTAATTTAACCTATTTTAAAAATATGGTTATTCATTTGTGCATCTATCTATCTATCTATCTATCTATCTATCTATCTATCTATCTATCTATTTAATGCCATGCTATTGATCAGCATTAATTTATGAGGTGTATATTTATATTGTATTTTATAGTTCTAGCTTTGTAACTTTATGTAATTTGTGTCCATGTGTGTGTTTTTAATGTCTTGCCTTTGTAAGAATGTATTTAACTCAACTTAATAGATTTATATCAAATTATGTGTATTCCATTGTTGCATATTGTTTATACATATGTGTTTGTTTTTTATTATAAATATTGACATGTGAATATTTATATTTATATTTTATCTCTACCTTTAAAACTTGAAGTAAATAAATATGTTTGGATGCGTGCGTAGGGATGTTTTTTTCCTGTTTATTTTACATATAAAATTCATTTTCTTTTAGCTAAGTTTATTTTAAATACCAAATTTTAAGAAAACAACAATTCCCATATCAAATATGGAATGACGCATCATTGCGATAGCCAGATATATTTAACAAAATTAAATTATTTAACAGCCAGTTTTAACTCAGTACCTGAAGACTGCATTGTCCGTGAAACTCTGAGACGTGCAACCGGTGTAAATTTTACATTTATTAATATGCAGTTCATAACTCTGTGATATTGCCCCGAGCGCTATTTTATTAACACCAGCATCCAATGAATACATACATGCATATAGTTAACAAAAAAGTTAGAGTTTTGTTGTTTCCTTGAATCATTAATAATGCAAAAGGTATATGCGCTAAGAACACGCATAACAGCATTGTAAACAAACCCATCAGATACAGAAAGAGAAATTTAAAAATGTTCGGAATAACGCCAGTTCAAGGAGCATGAAGATACTCTACCTCTGTGATCGTTCATACATCAGATCACAATGAACCGCGGTGTAAATATTTTTATCTGTCTATAATGAACATTATAATTCTCATAGCTTGAGAAAGGAGATGTGATGTATTAATAAATACAGTGTTAATTCCTTTGTAACTATTTATCGATAAGCATGCAATACGTTTTGCTTTGTCATTCACTATTATTCACGCTTGTTGAGCATGACATTACATGGCGTCAGAATAACGTAAAACGCCCACAAACCACACAAGAAAGGGATAAAATGGATGTAACTGATCGACCTGGAAAAAAAATGAAGTATTTGAAAATCCGCCTATTAAAAACGAATTGTCACGTTGGATAAGTAAACCAGAATTAAAAGCAAAAAGAAAATGAGATTGAAACCACCAAAGAGCCTCAACTTCGAAGTAAACTTAGATGAAAATTATAAACGTTGGGAACAACAATATATTTATACTCTTGTTGCTGGAGTAAGAGAAAAAGATGAGCAAATACAGGTCGCACCATTCCTATATATGACTGGACCACAAGCTAAACAAATTTTCAACTATTTCGAACTTGAAAATCGAACTAACCCAAAAAAGATTTCCTAACAAGAAGAGTGGAAGATTGTAATTAAAACAATCTACCCCATGCGAATTTACTGATTTTCAGTTCCGGATTTTGTTCCATCTGTTGTGGTGTGCCAAGATAGTTAAGGTGCATCGGGAGTTCTTTTATTTCCACTCTTGTGTTCTCAAAAAGATGGTAATGGTGAATTCTGGAATTACTTATATGGAAGATGCTTTAGATAAAAAACACACTTTTCTATGTGTTTTGTTACAACGTAGAAAGCAACAAATGAAATTTCGAGAATAAACGTTAAATGTGCCAGATTAAGCTAAGAAAATACCACTAATATTTTGTGGATTTTGTTGATACTTACAAGAAAATGATAATTCTCCATCTTTCAAAGATTTAGAATTTTCATCTACCATAAATTAGCCAACCAGCTGCAATTCTCAAATGAACTTATTTGCTAAAAATAGTAGAAACATTCAAAAATAGAATTTATAAAAGCAATATAGAAAACAAAGTTTAAATTACTACATATGGTCAAATCAATTAGCTAAACTTATTTTTAAAATGTTATCAGTCATAAAAAGAAAACAAAAAGAGTATTTGAAGAAAATGGCTAATTTTGGATAGAGAGTAAATGAAAGGATCAATTTTTCTTTGTATAATTTTGATTAAAATGTAAATATCGAATTGAAATTCGAAAACATAAATACACACAGCAATACACTTTACCTTGAACAGTAAATTTCCACATTTTACGAACACCTTGTCCACTTTCTATTCGGCACCCGAGGATAAGGTTCGGTCTATCAGTCTCGCTTACATTGTAATGAAGTGAGCTTGAAAAACTACGGCTACATTCATTTTGGACATTTATTTTTATTGACTCAGCTTGAAGCCTGCTAGTAGTTGGGGGAGTAATTCGATAACATTGCACAGAAAAAGGGCCTTCTTTTCGAATAGTTCCTCTGCACATAAAGGCGGATATCTCGTTGACAACAAGGTCAGATGAAGGTGTTTTCATGAGGCTATACATCACTGGCAAAACTGAAAAGGAGAAAATGAAATCAATTTGAATGGTTTCAATAAGAAAAACTTAGAGCCGATAGAACTGCATTTCCTACCAGGATTTTTCTTTAACCAACATGCAGTCGTTAACATGTACTATCTACAAAAGTTTAATTTGTTTTAGCAGGATAATTTTGATATTAAAGGTTTTGTTAAATGCTGATTCATATTTCTACATATCTCATTCTCATCTTAATATTTCCACTTATTTTTCGCTTTTTTATTGAACGGAAATTCTTTTTTTGCAATTTCTTTAAGAGAAATGTTTTGAATGATTCTTACCTTGTAATGTGATATTCTTAGAATATACAGTAAGACGATTTTTAGCTTGGAAAAGGACAAATGTCACAGATTTTCTGTGTTGTGATTCGTAATCGCTGACCTCCAGAGAGACAAACATATCAGAAATTATTTCAAACTTATCAGTTGCAACTTGGTAAGATGCCTCAGTGGTTTTATTCCCATTGAGCAATATTATTGTATCAAACATTTCATCATTTGGAAATTCACATGTTATTCTCAGGTTCACTGAGTTCAAAGTGGCGTATGATGGCATTTTCAATTTTACAGCAGCTGCACCTGTAAAGGTAAGAGCAAATCTTCAAAGACAGAAATGTACCTATGCAAATACAGATAGAAGAAGAGAGAAAGGAACAAGGACAGAGACACATGCATACGGAGACATACAGATATGCACATACAAATATACATGTGCAGAGATACAGGAGTATACATGCGCACACACACACGAATGGACAGAGCAACACAAAGAAAGAGACATATGCACACACACACACAGACACACACGAACACACTATTTTATGGCTGATAAATTTATGAAAATAAAAATAAAATTAGCCATTACACTCTTTTTTTAGTTCAAACAGAAATAAAAAAAACTCTCCTTCCGTTTAGGAGTCACATTTGAAGCCTTATAATCTATATTACAAACATTAAAGACAAATTTAGTAAATATTTCACTAATTACATTCGGACCATTGCCCTCATCATTGTTGTTTGTATACAATCTTCGTGAGGTGTATATCGATCTAGGTAATTTATATAGTATTTCGAACTGAACACTTTATTAAATCTACGGGAGTAGACTGTTCTCGTTCATGTCTAGATCTTATGTTATTTAGTACTGTTCAGTTATTGTTCGTCTATTTCTCCTTAGTATAAGTATACAATGCCCGAACTTACAACCGCTATGTCACCAAATTCGCAATCCAATCACAAGGACATGGTCCCGAAGGACAATTTGTTGGAGTAAACTTAGAACTTTAAACCTAACCTATTAGGTGCTGCTTTTGGCTGTCATGTTTTTGAATACTGTTGCTGATTGTCATGCTTTGAACGCTACTGCTGCTGCTGTTTAGAACTCGCTGTCATTTGCTTTCTTTCTTTATTTATTAGCAGCTCCATGTTGTACTTATTTCTATGCTAGGTCTACTAACGAGTTCCACATAGCCTAGCATAAGCACTGATTCGTTCACACGTCTAACTCTCCAGTGTTCTTCCTTGCCCAGTATTATAACTTAATTCCACGGTGCGGATGACCACGCCTTTATCTCAAAACATGGCCAGCTATGCCCGATATAAATGTCTTACCACCCAATACGGCTTGTCGATGTTCCCCAGTCTTACATTTAGGGGATGGGTTGTTTCACCTTTATATTGTCAGCCTCATCTGCAAGGGATCGAGTAGACCTAATTGTTGCTCATATTCTCACCCGTGTAAGGCTTTACTCGTCAGAAAATACTCCGTAGAGTAGAACTTCTTCTGAATATTGAACTAATGTTGTATTAACCGCAGATCTGATTTTTTGCCCAATAAGCCTTTGATCTAAGGTAGACAGACTGCTGTAAGTTTGATGCTGACCATGGGGACTCAATAAGACCTTTGATCCAGTTCACAATTGATCAAAGAGAACAATAACCAGCTAGCCTTCCTGGATATACTAATAACTAGCACAGAGAATGGGTTTAAAACATCCGTATATCACAAGCCAACCTTAGCCAATACCTCAACTTCTATTTTCTACAATCCATACAGTGTAAAGAAAGAGATCGTTCGATGCCTACAACCCCAGGCGAAAATCATAAGTGGCGACCCATACACATACATACAAGAAATGATCAGCATCAAATATACCCTTCAGAATAATAACTACCCGGCAAACGTGAAATCTAGAAAGGAAGCATGAAGGTGAATCACGCGATGACTGTTGTACATTCCAAGAACAGTTACAACAACAAAATTGCAAATTATAGTAAAACAAAAATTAACTGAAAATCATTGCCAAGATATACCAATCTGGTGAGCGAGTACATTTTGGGCTCTACTGCTGGGGAAGGGACTGATCACTTACCACGTCGTATCAGGTGTAGTAACAACAAAAATAAAGGAAAAAAAATATCTAAATGAAACAAAGATTTTGGCTACATTAAATAAAGACATTTTGAACTCATTCAGATCTCATAAATTTACAATTTGTGAATTTTTTTTTCTCTCTAGAAAACATCAAATACTATTCAATAAAATATGTGTTCTCCAATGATTTAATTTTCAGTCCTGATTTGAAACATCTGGAAAATGGCTGTTGAGAAGAATCAGGAATTGGTAGAGCCAAGCCGAATAGGAATTCGTATTCAGTGCCACCAAATTACCTAGAATCAAAGATCAAATACTATTCAATAAAATATATGTTCCCCAATGTTATTATTATTAGCAGTACTATAATAATAAAAATAAAAAATAAAAATCAAATCGTATAAGTCGATTTAAATGCTGGCTCATTAGGCGATAAGTGGCTATAGGACTTTGTTCTCGTAGAAAAGAATACACCAAAATGAAAGAATAAACAAACCAATTAAAAATAAACTAAAGTAATTGTTGCACCGGCCTCTAACACAAGGGAATTACACCGGTTCTCACTATATATAGTGCCAGTAATACCTACCCGGTGTAAGCCGCGACAGTGCTACAACTGCCTAGCTGAGTAGTACCCGTTTCCTACCTTTGTATCTGTGATGTTAAATACACTTGTTCTTTAAACCAACTTCGACTTGATTTTCTTATTTTTACTATTGTGCCACGACACAACAGTAATATTTATGTGAAAATTGATTATTTACATTGTGGCCATGAAAAAAAAATATAAAAAAACACAGCTACTTACCTTCTGTCAGGTAAAGAAGAAGTAAAACAATGAAAGTTCTTTGATGGAGGATAAATAAAACTTCCATGATTTCTTCACTGAAAATTTAACCTCAAGAAATTTGCCGGACAAGAGGAAAATTATTTCTACACTTGAATGTATGGCAAGTAGGAGGCTAAATGACCTGAGGTGTGGTTAGGGTATAAACCTAAATAAGTTTCACTTACCTATATTATTATTATTGATTCACATAAATCAATATCATCTTATAGGCTTTTAAGCGTTCGTTTTCTTCATAATAATAATAATAATAATAATAATAATTATATATATATATATATACATTTCTAAACAACACACATAGGTATAAATATTGGATCTATCTCTCTCTCTCTCTCTCTCTATATATATATATATATATATATATATATATCTGACGCTCTCTCTCTAATTCTCTCTCTCTCTATATATATATATATATATGTATATATATATATATATATATATATATATATATATATATATATGCCCATATTGATTCACATGAGGTGTGACATGATATTGATCAGCATTAATTTATTAGTTGTAGATCTATATTTTATTTTATAGTTATAGCTTTGTAACGTTATGTAATTTGTGTCGATGTCTGTGTGATTTGAATGTTTTTCCTTTGTAAGAATATATTTAACTCGACTTAATAGATTTTTATCTAATTATCTGTATTCTATTGTTGCTTATTGTTTATACATATGTGTTTGTTTTTTATTATAAATATTTACATGTGAATATTTATATTTATATTTTATCTCTACCTTTACAACTTGAAGTAAATAATGTGTATGGATGCGTGCGAAATGTTTTTTTTCTGTTTATTTTACATATAAAATCCATTTTCTTTTAGCTACGTTTATTTTGTGATAACCAGATATATTTAACAAAATTAAATTATTTAGCGATCAGTCGTAACAGCTGAAGATTGCTTCGTCTTACTGGGGAGCAAAAAATTGACATTTATGAATATATATATTTATAGCTCTGTGATATTGCCAAGAGCTTTTTTAAATTTTTTTATTAAGTCCAGCACATAATGTGCGATATTATACATATATACATACATACTGGGGTTAATAAGAGTTTATTCGGGATTTTTTTCAATTTTAATGTTTCAATAATCCTCAATCATTGCAACAAAGGTTATTCGAATGCCAATTTAGGATGGAATCATATGAAGAAACTACTGGCTAAATGGCAAAGCTGATTTTGAACCTAGTTTGTTGCAGACCTCATCCACTTAACTGAAATAATCTAAACCAAATATTCACGCCAGACAATTTCTGTGTCATATGTAATTTACATGTCAAATTTTGAAAGATGAAAAATCTGTGAGTTATGACCGAAAAACGGGCTTTTTGAATAGTTTGAATTGTTGTTTTCTTTTTTTATTGATTAAGTCTTTGATTTCTTTAGATGTAGTTGTGACAAATTTTATGTTGAGTTTAGATAAATTCTTTTCCGTTGTAGTTGTTATAGAGTTAGTAGAATAATATATTTTTTTGATTAGTTGGATTTGTCAGGAAGGATAGCTCTTCTATTTTGGAATATTTTATGAGACTTTTGTTTAGCATTGAATATGAAAGGACTTGAATGTTTTAGTGTAAATATTGAGGGCTGCAAATTCTGAGTGCTCTTAAAGAGAATGCAATGATCATTCCGGATTTTATTTTGTTGTTATTATGGGAATAACAGTTTATTAAATCATTTTTATTGGTTGATTTTCGGGGGATACTAAGTTCTAGTTTATTGGCAACTCGGTGTAACATGATGCCAAACAAAGATAAAGTATTTTTGTTTTTTTGCTATTTCGTATGTAAATTCTGTTGTGTGCTCGACTTTGTTTAGTTTATCTACAAGATCCGGTAAGTTAGTATCACGGGGGTTTATTAATAGAGCATCATCAATATATCGGAAGTAAGTTGATTGTTTATTTAAAATGTTTTGGAAGAGCCAGACTCGAAAAAATTCCAAGGAAATACATGCCATGACTCTACTGAGAGGTGATCCCATTGGTAATCAAAATGTTTGTTTGTAATAATTGTTATTGAATGTAAAATAGCATTGATTGGTGATGAGACGGAAGATTTTTATGATTTCATCTGTTGGTAGGGAAAGGTTTATCTTTGATTCTGTTAGATGTTTTTTAAGAGATTTAAACATTTTTCAACCAGGATATTAGTGTAAAGTGATTTTATATCTAGACTGGCAATGAGTTGGTCAGTCATATTTGTTTCCCTTAATTTTTCAACAAGGTTGCCTGATTTTTTTTTTATATGTGATGGACTTATTGTTCCTAGGAGAGGGGTTAATATTTTTGCTATGGCCTAGCTATTTTGTGTGTGTGTGTGTGTGTGTGTGGTAGTTTATGTTTGTGTGTGTGTGTGTGGAGGATGAGGGGCGATACCAGACATTATGGGGAGCATGGTACTTTTGGGATTTTTGGATAGGTTATTGTTGGAAACCCTAAAGTTTTGATATCCCATGTGTTTATACCTGATTTGTTTTAATTTTAATCAGTTTTCTGATGTCTTTGTAGAATTTTTGTGTTTCGGTAGCTTTTGGATTATTTTTTCGTATGTGTCTATCGTTGAGTAATGAGTTTCTTTTTTCTATGTATGTAATCGTGTTTATGATTATAAAGCCCCCTCTTTTGTCAGAGGGAGTGATGTGGATTTCCTTATTTCTCGTTAGGTACTTTAGTGCATTTAGCTGTCTCAGTGAGTTTTTTTTTTCTGGTAGTTTTTTTTTTATAGTAGTAGTTGAATGGAACTTTTCCTTATGCTTGTGAGTTTTTATTATAGTGTCTGCTATGACTTTTTTGCGGGTGTCAAATATATATATATATATATATATATATATATATATATATATATATGTGTGTGTGTGTGTGTGTGTGTGGTGCATGCGTGTGTGTGTGTGTGATCGAAAAAGTATAATTTTTAAAATATACAATATTTATGGATATCAGAGATAGATCGTTTTAAATACAAAAGTGGACACCGAAGCCAACATCAAGAGTGGTTAGATGCACCAGATTCAAATTTGCCTTCGATCTATTTAGCAAATTGTCTTGTCTCGACTGCATCATATCAACATGGACGGTTCAGGGTTAACGTTAGTTATCTAAAACCAGTCATATGATAAAAAATACTTTACTTTAAATATGTTGGAATTGGTATAACCGTCTAGGTTTTTTAATACACGTTTTTGAGAGAAGTATATTCTTTTTAAGGCCAGATGTCTTGTATGAAAATTGTTGCATTTTTATGGCCTTCTAGGTTCAAGCGGTTGATAATTCCAAAATACTTTGATTCGTTGCGGATTCATTGTTTTTTAATTCTTGTTTGTAGACGGGTTGTATATATATTTGCCAATTAGAAACGGGGCGGCATTCGTCAAAATGTGCTACAAGGATGTGCTGGAACTGCTCAGCAACTTTGATATACACTGAAAAGATATCAAAATAATCAAGAATCTATACTGGCAGCAAACACCATGCATGCGCATAGATAACAAGTTCAGCGGATATGCAAAAATAGAAAGAGACGTAAGGCAAGGATGCGTCTTCTCACCCGACATACAACGAGGCAATCCCGAGAGAATTGGAAACCCTACCGGTATTTAAGCAATGGCGGCCACAACCTTAACAACATAATAAGAGACGCAGATGACACTGTACTGATTGCGGACACGAAAATAAATTACAAAATCTCCCCAGAAGGTAGCGAAGGAGAGCGAGAAGAAGGGACTAAGTATAAACTACAAGAAGACAGAATGGTCATCAGTAAAATGATGAGACCGAAATGCGATTTACAGGTAAGGACCACCAGGTTGAAATGAAAGCAATTAATGGAGGCGGAAGAGGCATTTTCCCCACGCTTCAAATAACTGGTCCAGCGAAGGAGGTCATATATCAACACGAGGAAATAGATTAAAGTTCTTTTCTGAGCCTTCTGGAGAAGATTTCACTCTGAAGAACATTCATATGAACTTTGCGTCAAAATTCAAAGAGCCCTCGAGAGGACAGCTTGAAAAAAACCAAGGAGACGTCCCGTTTGAGTATTCTGTTAAGAACGGAGCGGGAAGCATTTAAAAATTTCTGCCTTGCGCAATTTTTTGTCTTTATCAAGCAAATTGTAACATATTTTTTCTTTCTCTGAGTAATCCATTTTTTTTAATTCAGAAAATAGTTATCTTGCCGAAATAGGCGTACAGAAGGAAATTTTTGTGAAACCCTTGCATTGTACCTTTTTTCGTATTTGTAAATTGTAATGTAAAATAAATGTATTTTCCCTTTTAAAATTTTATACATTGTTTCCCTAATTTTGGCTTATTATCGGAGTTCTGTTTCTACAAAAAAGGTTTTGTGTCTGGCGCAAGAAGAGGCGGTAGAAAAGTCAAATTTTTATAATATAGTTACGTGCTTTAGTTCTTCGAAGGTTAACACTACTATACCTTGCATATCTCTTCGGAATGCGGATGAAATACCTCCAATATTTTAAAGGTTGACAAAATGACTTTTAATTTGATAATGAATAATTTAATACAATGTATGGATGATTTCTGAAGTCGAAGTAGATTAATATGTTTATGCTTTTTTTATTTTATTCTATCAGAAAAGAAATCCGTTTAATTTGAGCTTTATTTGGATGTCATTTTCCTGTTTGTTTCTTATTTTAATGAATATTTTCACGATAATATTACACTAAAATAGACGGGGAAAACAGCATAGCGTAATTCAAACTTAATAAAAAATAAAGGTTTATTGTCAAAAATTTTATTTTAAGATAAAAGACCAAAGCATTTTCTGATTATTTTGAAATTTTTTAAAATTTTTAACACGTCCGAAATTTTGGTTAAAATCTTGTTTTGTTTTTGGCATAATAATAAAATTGACTTCTTGCGCTTTTTTCCGTTGAAAACATATTGATTTGGAAATTCTTTAAAAATCAAATAATTGTCCGATTTTAATGAAATTTTCAGGACTTATTCACAATTGAATGAAATTATTTTTGCCTTTTTTTTTCAGAAAAT